TCATCGGTTTTCCACAAAGCTTTCCCATCATTTCAAATAAAAATGACTTTTTCTTCTGTTTTTAATTGACTATCGACTTTTGACCCTTCAAAATGTTCCCTCCTTCCACATTTTTGGGGGCTCTTTCACATTTCCACGCGCCCAGGTGGGCGCATTTTCTGCGCTCCTATATGTCGTCATCCACTTTAGGTCAGTTCTAAACCCTACTTTTTGTATGCTTATATTTTGGCTCCTACGTTTGCAAGAATGGACCACTAGACAAGGTACGAATTGCAGCATTCTGATATAAGTTTCTGAACCAAAATTTCACGTAAAACACAATGTGCACAACGAAAATTACCGAAATCAACCCCTTACAAAGATAATGAATGATTCTTGATGCGTGAATTTAAACCACCTGCTCATGAAAACTCAATGCTCCGCGTGATTCATATCGCGCGCCAAACGTTATCATGACAGTCTCTGCGATATAAAAATCTGGCAACCTCAATCTTGACGCTTTGGCTCAGCTATTGCAAATTGCTTATAGTTAAAACAACACACGGTAGGAAATGAACATTGCTCGTTTGAGAAGCTTGCTGAAACCGTTGTAGTGCTCGATTTTACGCACGTAGAGCTTTCAGTTTCTTGTGAGCGGGCAGTTCAAATTCTTCGTAACCAGTGTGAAATAAAAGCGTTTATATCTCTGTAAGTATAGTACCTATATTGAGAGAGTATGGCCACTGGGCCCCATGGAGAGGCTTAGGACCCAAAAATGGCGGTGCTTTGTTTTGGTTTTTGTGGATGGGAGGGGGGTCATTGCCAACTTTTGACGGTTATCACCAACCACACTCGCTGCCAACCTTACTACATCTAAGATAATTTTTCTCAAAAATTGCACACGATTAGCCTTGAAAATGTGTAAAGACGTCGCAATAGTGCATTTGGGTAAATTTCTCGTTACGATAAGCAAAGAAAACTACATTTTGAGTCATTTTGCATTACATTAATTTATGGCGTCCGCCATTTTTGGGTCCTAACGGCTCCATTCAGCCTAAGATGGCTGTGCCAATCAGAGGCGGTAACACCTGTGGCCATACTCTCTTAATATAGGTACTCTATCTGTAAGGAGTTGGTTTCAGTAATTATCGTTGCGCGAATCGTATTCTACGTGAAATTCTGGTGAAGAAACTAGTATCAGATGATTTAAATTCGTACCTTGTCTAGTGGTCCATTCCACCTTCTATCTCCCTGGTGAGCCCTGATTTGGTTCCAAAGAATTATGATCGCGCCCAAGAAGGATACGGAACCTTATGATCCACCCATTTTGGTTCGACCGATCATCACCGAAAATACGCTTCAAAGGAGGGTCTCTCGTCTCTGATTCCACCCCTTTACCTTAGTAGCCCCTTGCTAGGTGGGCAACCGGCGCGGGCAGGCCGCCGCGGTGTTGCGTGTCGGCGCGAATCACGGCGGATTAGCCTCAACCTTAGTAGCCCCTTGGTAGGTAGGCAGCCATTCCACCTTCTATATCCCTGGTGAGCCCTGATTTGGCTCCAAAAAATTATGATCGCGCCGCAGAAGGATACGGAACCTTATGATCCGCCCATTTTGGTTCGACCGATCATCACCGAAAATACGCTTCAAAGGAGGGTCTCTCGTCTCTGATACCATCCCTTAACCTTATTCGCTCCTTGATAGGTAGGCAACCGGCTCGGACGGTGTTGCGTGTCGGCGCGAATCACGGCGGATTAGCCTCAACCTCAGTAGCTCCTTGGTAGGTAGGCAACCGGCTCGGGCGGGCCGCCGCGGTGTTGCGTGTCGGCGCGAATCACGGCGGATTAGCGCATTCCACCGGTTGATGGGCGCGCACGGCGTGCGTGGGGGGCGCCTGCGCGGTGGGCGCCCTTTCATTCACCCGCGCGCGGTGGGCGCTCCTCCTCCGCATCATCGACCGAGTCAGTCGTCCTCGCGCCCGCTCCGTCGCCCCGCGTTCCTCGCGCTTTCGGATTTCGGTGGCGTTCCCCGTTGAGCTCCTCGGTGTTTCCGGTCCTCCCGCCCGGGTTTTACCGGTCCCGCCGACCGGGTCCGCCGGGCCGCACGCCCGGTCTCCGCGAGTGCTACTACGACCTTGGAGCCTCCCACGCGGTGTCGCCTGTCTGTAAGTTCACCCGCCTTTCTTGTTTTGCAGGCTGACGAGTATTCGAAAAGTGATTGAAGCAGGGTTGCCACAGTCAGGAACAACACTGGAAAAAAAACACATTGGATCTGGAGTCCAGCCTCTTAAAAACATCGACAAGAAAAAATACTCTTGATTCAATCAGATTTAAGCTTACATCAAAAACCAAGCCTCTTAATTTGAGCGGATTTCCTTTTGATTTAAGCTTAAATCTGATTGAATCAAGAGTCCTCTTTCTTGTCAATGTTTTCGAGAGTCTGGACTCTAGATCCAATATGGTTTTTTTTTCCAGTGAACCAGAAAATATAGGGGACTTTAATGTCATCAGGAAATTATCAGGAAAGTTGGTTTTGAATCCAGAAATTTCGGGTGCGTCAAACATTCTTCCACTACGTGCAGTTCGCACTTGCAAAAGAGAAACATTTAGTTCTTTTCTCTAAATATGTTGGTCTGTAAATTCAAACTAGTCGCCGCGCAAAATATTAGGGAATTTCATTAAAGTTATCAGGAAGAAATCGGGCAATCAGGAAAATTCAAGATGGAATTTTAGTAATCTCCCCGTAATGAAGCAGGGTTCCACAGTGAGGGAAAACCGGGAAATGTCGAGAAATTTGTAAAAGTCAGGGACAAGTCGTCGCCCCTCTGACGTAAGGGCGTATCTCGATTTCCACGTGAACCCTGTTGTCCATATGACACCATACTTTCCAGGGCTCATGTCTAAATCGAGATACGCCCTTACGTCAGAGGAGCGACGAAGTATCAACCACCGTTATTTGCTGGGGGTGGCAAACGTCACTGTATAGTGTCGACCGTGAGAAAAAAAACTGGTCAGGAATTTTGATGCCATTAGAAAAGTTCAGGTAGACCGTTAGTGTATTAAGAAATTTCGAGCGCGTCAAGCATTTTTCACTGGAGTTCATTGGATGCAAAAGCGAAACATTCCATTCAATTCATCGCATATTTTGGTTTTTTAAAATCAAAGGAGTGCTCATTCATTCCCGCAAAAAATTAGGAAATTTCATTCAAAGTATCAGGATAAAATCAGGAATATCCAGAATAATAACCTGGAAAAGTCGAGAATTTTCACAATTACCTGGAAACGTCAAAGATTTTCACAATTACCTGGAAACGTCAAAGATTTTCACAATTGCCTGGAAACGTCAAAGATTTTCACAATAACCTGGAAACGTCAAAGATTTTCACAATAACCTGGAAAGTCAACGTATTTTTCCAATTTTAGAGGAGACTGTAGAGGTGTACTTTTGTATCCAGGCAGATAATTAGCCAGATATGTGAGTGTTCATATGTCTTAAGATTCACTGAAATAATATCACGTCTCCAGTCTTTTACGAATGCTGCAGCGCCAGGCTCACGTTTCTTATCGTAGTCTAGTAATTGGCTCTCTTTTTTTTCTTTTTTTATTCTTTCTTTTCTTTTTTTATTCTTTATGGCCTTAGATGCTAAAGCACCGCTTTAAAATAAAATTATTTTACTACTACTACTTTGCTTTTTTTATTTAAAAAAAAAGGAAAGAAAAAGAAGTCAGGGAAAAATCAAGGAATTTTCTCAAACTTAGCCACGGATTTTTTTTTCTTTTTTTTATATGGTTTTAAGGCGTTTTGAATTTTCTTTTCTTTCTTTCTTTCTTTCTTTTTTTTTTACAGAAAAGTCACGGTAAAACAAGGGAATTTTATTGTTGTAGTTAATTTCCCACCTTATTTGCGTTCTTCAATGCGTTTGACTTTTCAAACAACAATTTTTCCGTGAAAACTGTTCCAAAATATGTATCTTTAACCATATGGCATTTTTTCAATTGCCAGGAAGTTTTACCAAAATGTGCCCGGGATTTTCAGTTGATTTTGTCTTGTCAGTGTATTTCATTCTTTAGATATTGTGACAACCCTGTTGGAAACCTGGAAAGGCCAGGAAATTTTACTCAACCCTGAAATGAGCGGCAAAGTTGAAAGAATCTCGCTCGAGAACCTTGAAATTCTTTTGACGTAACTTTTAATTAGTTTCTACCACATTCACACGCTCTACTGACAAAAATTAAAACTCGAGAATGAAACAATCTTATTTGATGGCGAAACCGTGTTTGTGTTGAAATGTCATTGGAAACTTAGAAAAAATCAAGGAAAAGTCAAATACTTAATTTCGCCACCGGACCTTGAAATATTTTCTTTTGGCTGACTCATTTAACTAGTCTCTGTACTGCGCATTCACACGCTCTATTGACAAAAATTAAAACTTGCAAATGAAACAGTCATTACAACGCTGCCGTGCTAAGGAAGAACGCCGTACGAACATTCAAGAGTTGCCAAATTTCCTCGACGAAAACATGTATTTGTGAGAAAAGTTTTCCATAGCTTTCCTTGAAATTTTCAAATATTTTAGACTAAATCGCGAACAAAATTTCCTGAAAAATTTGACAAAAATATTCACTATTTTCCCGGTAAATTTGACTTTCATTCAAGGTATAATATGGCAACATCTGAAGGCTCATACGGCGTTTTTCCTTAGCACGGTAGAATATTGCGGAACCACGTATCTCAGTTTGCGACGTTGCATATTTCCTGCCATTTTTCAGGAAATTCGACGTCGTCAGATCAAAACCGCTGTATCGTGCGCGTTGTGATTCAAGTAGACTCCTGTTTTTCGTGTGAGTGGGAATTTCAAATTGCTCGTAACCGTTAAGCTTTTTATAAGTATTCATATTATTTTTGGCCAAAAATAGGTTACATAAAAGCATCCAGACGTGTCATATTTTTGTTTTGGCATTTCTGTATACACATTTTGACATTTTAACATTTTTAACATTTTTTTTCGACGCTCTATGTTTCAGAATGGTGTTTGCCGGCTTTCGTAATTAGTGATTTTTCCCAGTGTTATCGGTAAGTGTCTTTGAAACTTTTGCATTAGGATTCCTTAAATGTAAGAGCTGCGACAAGATTACGTACTAACGCAATAAACATCCTATCGAATGTTTTCGATCTTTGCCGAAAATACAGGAGAATTCTTGGTACTTTCAACGCCGTAGATGGAATATTGCCTTCAGTAATGTAGTGCGCAATTGGCGGATCCAGCAATTTGGCAACACCGATTTTCCTCCATTTAAACTTATCGAAATGTATCGGTATCCGGAGGGGCCACGTGCTGCGACAAGAATCGATTATTTAACATAGATTTAAATGGAGGAAATCCGGTGTTGCCGAATTCCTGGATCCACCTATGGATCATATTAACTCTTCGACTCGCACAGACGAGAATATCTAGTATTAAAACTTTAGCTACAGGGAGTGATTTGACCATATTTTGCATTTGGGAACCTGAATTCGAGTTCATTTTAGAAACAACACATGTGACATCAGTTTCCCGATGCAGATAGGTGCGTATTGTGAGCGGACGGACTTTCAACCGGAATCAACATAACTGTGTCAGGCGTTGTCCAATTTCCAGTTTCATACGGAAGCGAAGAGTTCCTCGATTTCTCGTCATAACGCCCCTCCTGAAAATCAACGGATATGGGTGGATTTCAGCCAATGGGAGAAAAAATGGGGAAGACGTGTAACTGGTTGCTCAAAACTTTCAATCATAATATTTTCTCTCAATGTTTGGTTTTTTGCAGAAAAATTTCTCAAAGATATTGCATTGCGATGCGCGTAATTAAATCCTTTAGTCTGGAGCTCTAAGATAACAGAAAAGTAGTCTTTAGCTTAATATGGCCAAATCACTTTTCAACTTTTTTTCAGAACCATTTTCCTCCATTAGCTGAAATTCACCCACATACTTAAAATGGAGCGTTTTAAATTTTTTCTCCCTATCTTGTCGCAGGTCTCACTTTCAAGGGGTCCTTTCGGCCCGAAGTGTCTTTGGCGGATACAGCAAGTTGGCAACGTTGTTTTCGCTCAACAGATCGTATTCGATACATCAAACGGGTGAGATTGTATCGATATCGATTGGTTCAAAACATAAACATAGCCTCAAAAGTAAATTCAGAAATCTGATAGAACGGATCTTCTGTAACAGATTTTTTATTCTTTTGAGTACCAAATGCCAATGCAAAGTGAAATTGTCAGGAAATATCTCATTTTCAGTCTTTCCAACTTAAATCCTTACAGTTTGGTTTGAGGTTATGTTCTATTGTTTTGAACCAAACGATACATCGAACCGTTATCGAATACGGTCTATTTTTGAAAGTATATCGATTTTCGGAAGGGCTAGGTGCACGGCCAGAAACGATCATTCAGCATATGTTTAAATGGAGGAATACACTTGTTGCCAACCTGCTAGGTCCGCCTCTGAAGTGAATATCCATCATGCTTGCCCCCTTCCTATTCAAACAAAAAATTTGTTTTGATCCTGAGACGAATTTTTAGCTCAATTATTTTTAGATTCATGAGAAGTTCAAAGAATTTAATTTTTCTCCAGCGGAAGACATGTTTTCAATTCAAATGAAGATTCTCTTCGATTCGAGGATACCAATTATCTCATCGATTGCAGATTTAATCTCCACCTTCAAATTAAAAAAACAAAAACTGCATTTCAAGTTTAAAAGCTTTTGTCACTTCTTTCAAGCGAAAAAACGTACCTATCCTTTAAATCCAACAATAAACACAGTTTTCTTTTTAGTTTAAAAAAAGTCTGTTCATAAGTTTTTCCTATGAAGTCCAATAAAATCGACTCATGAGCTCGCTTTCTACTCTTAGTTGCACGCATATGGATAATCCCACAGGGACGATTTTCGCAAGTTGACAACACTGTTATTAATATTTTCAATGGATTTAAACGAAGGCAAACAGTGTCGCCACCTTTAAAAAATCGCCCCACATATTCGGCCCGAAGTAGTTTTTTGTCTTCTTTTGTAGTTAACGCTTAAGTTTTTTTCTCACTAGAATTTATAGTATGCTTGTCAAATTGCTAGATACTAAGTTGTGTGAGCCCGCCATTAGCAGTTATACACGTAGACGTAGATTGTACCAAGGTTCTTTCATGCAGTTGCGTGCGGGAGCATATCTGAGCATCTGACCCGATAGTAATTTTTTTCCTTGATATACTCAGTTCACTCTGTCAGCGTCTCACCAGTCACCATTTGATATATCTGTCGCAGACAGCCTCCAAGCACCATGCGTTTTAACTCGTCAAATTGCAAAACCTCGCATCGAAATAGTTAAAGTTTCAACGGCAAAGATCTTCTAAACACGATCTTGGGTCGGAGCGCCTTCAAATCCGGGTGATACTCTCCGCTTTGCCGGGCAGTTAGTTTAGTTGCCTATCCGAACCAAACCCAACCAGAGTCACCAAGTTCATTACTCGCACATTCGAGTGTGCTAGTACCATGCATTCAACAAGAAAAGAACGTCTGTTTGAATCTCAAGCATAGTGCTCAGTACTTTCTATCTTGTATCTTTACTTCTGAATTTTTACACAGTGAATAGATTGCAATTTGACGGCGCTCGTGAATTGCCTGCGACATTTCTAGGTGAAATTATCCGAATCTTATTTCTTTCCTCGGTCGAAGTTTTCCGTACATTGAAATCGCAAAAAATTAAAACATACCCCAGCTC